CTCTTTACTGACGAAATACAGCTTATGTACATGTACATGTACATGGGAATATTTATTTTACACCACGGATTGGATTGATCATTGTAACTATTACTTGCAAGAAGTATCGATGTTGTAGTGGGTGTTTTCGACACAGCTGCCTGAGAGATTCCGTTGAGGTAATGTCGGGCGGAAGGTAATTCCAGAATTTTCCAATGTTGTGAGAGAACAAACCATGCATCCTCACAACTCTCTCCAGACCGGATATTGAGAAATTCATTCTAATAATTATTGTGAAAGAAGAGTGTAGGGAAGGCCTGTTTTGCGGGCAAATCACAGCACAATACAACCATGTATCAGTACAGTGAATAGTTAAACCCAACACGAATGAAAAATGAGAAATGGAATAAAACAAAATTTGTAAAAAATAAATAAATAAATAATTGTGTGATGCGAACATAAATAATTCAATATCGAACACGAAAGAAAGAAGGAAAAAAAGAAAGAAGAGATACGAACTATGGGTGGTGTTTGCCATTCGCACGCCGGGAGAGTGTTGCTTTCAAGGTAACTGGTTGCCAGGTCCTACTGAATCATACTATTCATAGTCACATGATGATGGTACGTCATCCCGGACCAGTAACCATGGTGACTTGCTTGCTATCAACCAAATGCTATTTGTTCTAACTAATGACTATGTTACTTCTACTTTAGTTCTAGCAGCAACAAGAGTACAATTCATGTACCCTTGCCTTGGCTTAGGCCTTATCCGTCCGACAAAATCGCTGCGCAGTGCACGTACAGTCCAAAAATTGCGACATTTTTACCTTCAAATAATTATCATATTAAATTATCATTAATTTTTAATTGAACGTTATACACTAATATAATACAGGGTAACAGGGCATGGTGCATACAGCATGCAGTACAGACGATCCCATTCATTATTCTGCAGCAGTCCTGTACTTTTTCAAGTAAGTTAGTTCTGCAGCCACGGTTTAGCGGTTTAGGGGCGTACAACAGGTCCAGGATGGACTTTGAGGGAGGACGGGAGGCAATGGAGGCGGTCTTCACTCGCTGCACAGTGTGCGGTAAGGATCGACCGTCCAGCGGCAAATTCCTGCATTGCTTGCACATTGCCTGCACCCAGTGCCTGGCCTCTAATCTAGAGGGCGATGGATCTTTCCAATGCCGCAGCTGCCCCGTCCTGACCAAGTCTCGCTGGCTTGGCGATAGTCTTGCTTTCAGCTTGGTGGATTTCAAGCCCAGCGTATTCAATTCGAGAGCAGACGAAGAAGGAGAGCCGACTGCAAAAGATTCGGTGGCGCTCTGTGATTTCTGCGAGGCACCCGACCTGGCGCCTGTAACGCACAGTTGCGCAGACTGCATACCTCGCCCCACGTTCTGCAAGCATCATGCTCAAGCTCATTTGAAGCCACGTGTGTACCAGGGTCATCGTCTCGTTGAGCTCACCGAGGACGAGATCCGCTCGAGCTCGTTGGACACCTCGCACGTCTGCACCATTCATCGGCTGCAGGAGGAGCTTTTCTGCAAGCAGTGCAAACTCGTCCTGTGCCGAGTCTGCGCCAGTGCAGCCGTGCATGCGTCGCACATACTTGTCGACAGCCACTCAGCCGCCACGGATCATCGAAAGAGTCTCGACAAGCTCCTTCAAGGTTTGCGGGAGGGGCAAGCGCCGAGCACGGCTTCACGGGAGCGCAGTGAAAGTACAGACTCTACAAACAGTGATGCGGCGTTGACGCAGTCCGAGTTTGATCGCTGTTTGTCTGATATTGCAATCACAGAGCAGTTGTTCAGTGAGCAGCGTATTGAAGCTGCCAGTGAAATTTCACAATTGATGGCGTTGATCAAGCATGCAATGGAAGAGAAGCAGCGGCAGTTAATGCAGCAGATCGATGAGATGATCAATGTAAAATCTCAGAAGCTCCGCACACAGCGACAATGCGTGCAAAATCTGAATGCCTCGGCCCGTGTGTGCCGTTCCCTCGGTCTCGCCGTCGAGTCAGGGAAATTTTCGAATGTGGACAGCATTCGCCTCGGCATTTCCCTCAAAGAGAAGGTGAAGGTAATAAAAAGGTCATTACACAACGATCAGTTGCCCTGTGAATCAGGCTGTGTTAAAATTGTCACCCAGCAGGATGTCAAGCAGAGTCTTGAGCAGATGATATCATCCATTGCTGTCCCTGCCGCCTTTGTTGTGGATTTTCACAAAAGCCACATCAAAGTGCCAAGCCAGCTCATCATAGATGTCCAGTGTTATGTGGAGTTCACTCTTTGCACGGGCAACGGAAGTACATTGGCATTGGATGACGTCCCTCACTTCTCAGCCTTCCTCATCTCGCCGTCCGGAGACTGCAAACGACTCACCCCCAGCCGAGTAGGCAGCCAGTCGCACCGAGACGGCATGTACAAGCTGGCAGTCAAGGCACGTGATCTGGGTATGCATTGTGTGGAGATGAGCGATGGCCATACGACAACCCGGTGCGAGGTCACAGCGGATATCTTCTCAGACACAGCCTTGCACTCGAGTGCTCTGGACAGCTCGAATCTAGCCGATGAACGCGACGAGCCGATTCGTTCACAGATACGCTCTGCTCCTGCCTACTCCAGGGATGAAGATGTCTGGACACAGCAGAGCATGGCACAATGGGCACACATAGGCTGGCTTCATCAGCCTGCCGACACTGTTGAACATAGGACGGCTGCTCAGTCTGCACGGACGGCTGTGAGCTGCGGAGTTGAGCGAGACGGCCATTACTATGACGATGAGGACAGAGCCCAAAACAGTTTGATGAGACATGCTGGCTTTACTGGATCACTGGCAACGGCTAATGCTGGTAGCACGGTCACAGCGGCGGCAACAGCTAGTCCACTCACCATGGCTAGTCCCAGCCAAGGCACAACCACCACAGTCCGAGGACCGACTGCTATTCCAACGGCTCCACCAGCGTTTGAAAGCATCTATGGCGGGCAGCCACATCGCATGGCATCCACGGACAGCCATCAGCACTCGCAAAGCAATGCAGCGCACACTGCCAATGAGCCCAGTCCCCTCGAACCAGATGACCGAGATATTCCCAGCACACCTCCACCCAGTTACTTCTCGTCCGAGGTTGCCGACTCAGATGACAAGCCATTGTTTCAGCCATCTCGACCAAGAGCAACGTCAACTCGAATAGGCGGCAATGTTAGATTGTTTGACGACGACGATGATGACGACTTGGACTGGCTCCGTGACTAAACACCAGTTATGGTGTGGTGGTTGATAAAAAATTATTTTCAAACACTAGTTAGTGGTCAGAAATTTTGGTTGCTCGCAACGGTCGAGTTTACATTTCTCCTTTTTGACTTGCCACTTGACTCACGACTACCATTCAGAGCATACAAGAAGCCCGGTACTGAACGGTCAGTGATAAAAGCGCCAGCTCGAATGTTATATGAGCAGCAAACTTCCTTGCTATTTTTGCCAAGGACGCTACCGCTGAATTGTAGCAGTTATTGTCAGTGTCATTTTACCTTTTTTTCCAGTGCAGTACCTGTATATCTGTGCACAGTAAGCACATTATTACCAGCTTGCTAAAGATGCTTGAGGAAAAATTGCGTCACCGGACAATTTCATTTTCTATTTTGATGGCAGGAATCCGGGATTCGCTTCATTCCTATGATTTCATCTGACTGTGTGTGGTGAAAGCATGTGATGGCAACTGAATTTCTCGTTGATCACGATTTTGCCTATTTACTCCCTTATCCTATCATAATTATTAAGTTGCTGTTTCTGGATTATGAATCAATGTATGATATCCGCAGCATGAAGCCCCAAATGTGCACATTTGGAGACTGACGCATCTATTTTGAAGGTGCATGAACTTGGATGTGCTGATGGGGATGATGGTGATGGTGTGTGTAAGAGGTGATTTACACGATGGCAGGATTCATCTCGTGCGTGATGCTACCATGGAGATTCAGTCACATGTGGTCATTTTTTGGCGCGAATGTATCCCGCCGGCTATCCCGGTACGGTCCCGGTGCCATGAGGGGGCTGGGGTGGAATTGCATATCGTGGCATTCCATGGACTGTTTTGTTCTACAGCCCAGGTACTGTGCGTGCATCCTGCCATGCATCGATTTTCGTTTTCCCGTGGCAAGCTCTCGGGATCATGTGCTTCTCCTCCCTACGGGATATACTGCCGTCGTGTAAATCGCCTCTAAGGGGTCCTTTGATTAGTTTAGAATCATTCTCTTGCTGCTGTGAACCGGGCCCTCAGTGCGTGCATTGAGGATGCAGTTGTGCACTCATTCCACTTGTTCCTACTGCCTATCGAATTTGTATTCGGACATTAATTTTGTACTGGTGATGCATTTTAGGGTGAACTTACCCTTTAATTAAATTTTAGTCCTCCAGGTCTACTTTTTGATCATGCAAGTTTCTACAAATATTAACTTCAAGCATCTTCACTGATCTCATGTTTTCGAGGTTTTCGCTGATTTCCCCCTCTTGGAGCACCAATCAAGCTTACCAAGCCATGCACAAGATGACAACAGAACAGGTTGGAGTCAAAACGGGATATCATCATTAGGAATCTGAAGTCAAGTGAAGAGTGAAGTGCGCCTGTACTGTAGTCTGTAGGAATAGGACTAGGTCCTGTCAGTTGTACTGCTTATGTTATGTAATGAGAATGAAAAACGATGAAAACATGCCGGAATATGCATGTTTTAGAGACATCCCGAGCCCCCGGCCCTGACCTTGACACAGCCCGTGCCCCGAGGGGTGCGGATAATCTGCACTCTACCGACAATGGCGACATGATCATTCTGGTAGATCTACTTTTGTAGTAGGTCCACAAGTCATGTCACAACAGGCTGGCCTCTTATTGACGGGGCCCAGATCCGTGGAGCTACGTGTAGATCTACGGTGTAGTCTACTGTATACATAGATCTACATGATTATTCGATTGTAGTCAAGTAGGCAAGTACTAAGTAGGCGAGTACAGTAAAGCCCTTTTTCATTTTGATACTCACGGAGAGAATTTTGGGGAGATCCACAAACTACTTACGAGAGTTTGTACGAAACGCATCATGCTTCAACAGCGGCAAGCGAAAGCGACCGTGCTTACTACTCTGGGCCTGGCGATAGTCGCAGCACTCGCCCACACCTCGAGCGGCGATGGCCAAGTGCCAGAGACGTTCGCCTGGGATGGGCGGCTGCTGGCCGCGGTCAAGGCGCGGGTGTTGAAGGGTGATGTCGACCTCAAGCCAGCCGTGGAGGCGCTCATGCACTCTGCGGACAGCGTCGTGAAAGCCGATACGTCCAAGTAAGTCACACTTCGTGGGCGAGAACCGGACCCGGTGAAAAGGGAGTGTGACCAGCTAGCACACACACATAATTACAGTCGACTCCTAATACCGTAATAACGAACATCATTGTGCAGGAGAATTAGTTCTTTTAGCTGAAGTTTGTTATAACAGACACTCGATCTCGCATCATACAAGCAGCAAGTCACTGACTGGCATGTGGCCTATGACTGTATCACTATGAGGGCACTTCGTTTACATGCAGTCCTTGAATCAAGATAAGGTTCGTTATGAACGAAAATGATTCGCTACAACGGGTCACATTTTTGTATGAGTTCAAACTGGGACATGGACACCGGTGCGCTATAATAATACAAGTTCGTTATAGGCATTTGTTTAAGGTCCTCAGGCTGCGTATTGTGCTCTATGTCCAGTGGACAGAGCCAGTAATACAATGATCACACAGCAATGGTGCAACCAAGTCCTTTTCTGCCGTTACTCAGAGTTTCATGTGAAACACTCACCAGATTTGTACCATGCTGTCTGACGAGTGTTTCACACGGAAAAAAAACTCTGAGTAACGGCGGAAAAGGACTTGGTTGCGTTATTGCTGTGTGATCATTGTACAAGTTCGTTATAATTGGAGTGAACTATTATTGTTTACGTGATTGGCATAAGCACAAACACTGGTTCATTTCCCTATCGGCAGTTTCGTGAATCCTAAACCCTTGCGGAAACTCACATCTCTCACTCCTCGTTGGCCTTGAGGTCAGCACAGAAGCGCACAGATGCAGCAGACTCGCGAAAATCAGACGTCATTTAAACTCAGTCCCTTGCGATAAGCTGCACACACTTGTAATCCCGGACTCCGGCCCTGCCAGTTGGCACGTGTGTATGCGTACTCAGTACATGAATACGTGACCGAGTACCAAACTGAGTACCAACGGATGCGTGGCTTTCATCTTATGGTGTTCTGCTGTTCAACCTGTCTCACATCGTGATGTGAAATACGTGAACAGTCAACTTCGCTAATAACCACTGTGGATATAACGACAATTCGCGAATAACGACAGAATTCCCGCGCCAGAGCAAAGTCAAATCTAACTACCGTGAAGTCGCGGATAAAAGCCGGGTTTGCATACAAGCACATCGTGGATAGAAGCCTGAAAATGAAACGGTTCAAATGCATATAAGCCTGTCGCGCGTAGTACTAGAAGCCTGGCTTCTATGCAAGCGCGGATCGGGTAGGTCACGTGTGCGTGCGCTATGTACGGTGCATAGTAAAACTGCTGCCATACCGGTAGTCAGTGGTAGATCTACGTGCATACAAGGCTGGCAAAAATATCAGTGGTGCATATAAGCCTGGTTTGCATACAAGCCTGGTTTGCATTAAAGCCTGATGCAGAAAGCAGCTTTATTATGCTTATAAGCCCGGCTTTTATCCGTGACTTTACGGTATATACATATATTGACACTTCGCGAATATGGACACTTTTCTGATGCCCCGCCAAGTGTCGTTATAAGCAAAGCTGTCTGTAGTCGGGACAATGACATCACCGGAATCTCTTCTATTGATAGTACAGCAGTGCAATGTGGCTCAAGACAAGATTTTCACTAAATTATCTTGAATGGCCACGCATCAACACTGGCTTGACGATGGCCGTGTCATGGATGGACTTGCTCAGCGGCAAGTTACTGAGCTCATACACCCATATATCTTACAGCAATAACATTGAGGAAAAGGACATACTCCAGGGTCTTCAACATCACCTTGAAAGTTTTCACGGAGTATACTTTCAAGCCTTATAGCCCAGTGAAAACTTTCAAGATGATGTTGAAGAGCCTGAAGTGTGTCCTTTTTTCTCAGTGTCATCGCATTCTTGCAGGCGCGTAGCACCGCCGTTGGAGGGGGTCTGGGGGTGTCGCCTGGGAAAAAATTGAAATTAGGGTGCAAAATCCTGCATTCTGCGCGCTTCTGGGCGAAAAGTGGTCCGGCCAATGCCGGACCGGCTGCTACGTCCCTGTCCTGTCTCCAAGGAAACAGTATCTTACTGTGGCAGTATTTTCTTCTGTTACTTGTTTGCAGGCTCACCGTCATGGCAAAGAACTTCACGCCACCTAGTGGAACCAAACACGACTACATGAGTGTGGCAATCTACTAGTGAGTCACAGTGCTTGAACTGAGTAGGAAATCACTGTATTATCTTAGCTAGCGTAGTCTGAATTCCTGTGATGAAATCTGATTGTGGCTTTGATGTATCCAGAGAATTACAGTACATGTATTGGAGGGTATTATTATTTTTATGATAATATGCTGAGTGGGTTGTTCGAATACGATTGCTGTATAAAGAATAAAGATTTCATGCTACAGCACGGTTCAGTCAGACTGACATTTCTGCGTCTGAAGGTCGGTCACCATACCTATAAATTTAAGTTTTTTAGAGAGCTGTGTCCATTCTATATTCCTGGAAGGAAATTTCAAAGAATAGATCTACTTTAAGAATCTGCTAACCATGCACATAACATCTTGTGTATCTTGTTTGTTCAGCTGGCCATGTAACAGTCCAAAGTTTCCCCCACCCTTTCCGAAAGGGTGCAATACTACAACCGGCCTGCCGTAGGTTTTTACTTGTGTGTGTGTATGTGTGTGTGTGTGTGTGTGTGTGTGTGTGTGTGTGTGTGTGTGTGTGTGTGTGTGTGTGTGTGGTGTGTGTGTGTGTGTGTGGTGTGTGTGTGTGTGTGGTGTATGTGTGTGTGTGTGTGTGTGTGTGTGTGTGTGTGTGTATGTGTGTGTGGTGTGTGTGTGTGTGTACGTGTGTGCGCATGTGTGTATATGTAATATGTATGCGTCTGAGTTTGGGAGAGAAATATAACAAATCCTACAGTGTTGCACTAGTGGTGACAGGGGAAGAGATGTGATACACGTGATATGCATTGTGATAACAATAGATGACAAATGAACCAAACTAGTGGTATATGGCTGTCCTCGCTGTCAGCCTGAGCGCGAATGTATTCCAGTCCATACCTGTAGGGCTTGCTATGCTTCTAGGTGTGTGAGGATCAACACCTTGCGCTTTTTCTGCTTTTTCTCACTCGTCGACCTACTGCTGCGTGTATCACCTAGTCATGATTATTGTTATGGCAATGGTCAGTTTCTTGTTTTTCTTCTTCTGCCTGTATTCACCTGAAGAGAAGGCAATGAATGTGCTAGTGCAAACTTCGGAGTGCTGATTGCAAAGAGCCTGGGGCTTTTATTCCTCAGTCTGTTTGCTGTGTATGTACATACTATTATGCTGGCAATATGCGGAGCTGACGGCATCAGTGTAACAGTCAATTGTGATTTTCCGTTCTCCCCGTTCTCAGATGGGTTTCTCATGATGGCGTGGTGGACTCTGAAGCAGTGGATAAGTTCGACTCTGTACCGTTGGGCAAGATGCAGGCAGCTGTAACTGTAAGTCTACTGCTGTGCGTCTCGGGTAGTTGCGCTCGGGCACAAGTTGAATGTGCACACTTTTATGTATCCTACCATGTGGTGCAGGTAAAAAAACCCACGATATCTGATGATGACCACCATGGACACAATGCCATACTTCCTCTGGGAACAAAACCTTTGGGACTTTTAGATTGACCTGTCTGTTCTGGTGAATTGAGCTCCGAGGTATCGAGCAAATTGGTTTTAGGATTTTCCGTCAAATACGATGCAGCATCGAAAATCTGAAGAACTGTCCACAATTACTATCACAATACCTATTATTCTTTTGAACAAGGACAGAATAAGAGATCCATGAAAAAATACCAGAGCTCAATCTGACAATGTGACATTTCCAAACCTGGCTCTAAACTGGAGCCGCAATGCTTGCAAAAATGGATGGAGACCAAAATCCAAGGTCAGAGCTTACTAAACTAATAACGAATAGTCTGTTGAGATATGATCAGAGTGAGAGAGTTGATCATACGGATCGCTACAAGGAGGGAAAGGAGAATCCACCAAACTTTCCTGCACTCACGTGCTAGTGCGTACTGGAAACTGCTTTTGTTTTGCTGTTTAGTTAGGGGAAAGTTGTGTGCATTTCGTGCAAGCTTTGTGAGGCAAAAGTTCCTGGCCAACACCCGTCCTATGGGAGGTGGTGGGCATGGCTTGGGAGGTGGTGGGCATGGCTTTCTGCAGGTTATCGACATGATTTGAAAGCACAACAAAGGCTATTTCTGACTCCGTTATTACCTGGGTTGACTGGTTCGTACTATGGCTGCATCCTCTTGGTGCGTGTGTATTCTTGATCAGACGTTGGGCCTGGCAGCGTACATGTTTGACAATGAGACGTATGCTGAGCATGCAATGGACATCAGCAACCAGTGGTTCTTGGACCCGGCGACTAGGATGAATCCAAACCTGAACTTTGCCGCATTTCGTCCGGGAATAAACGAGGGGGATGCCAGTGGGATAATCGGCACCGTGTAAGCCCATGATTAATCTATAATTATGGTAAATGAGGATGGGAAATGAGAAGGGCGTGTGAAGGCACCTGGCTGAGGGGCAATTCTCCCATCCTCTCTTTTCTTTTCGTTTTTGCTCGATTTTGTCCGTGTCACTGCAGACACTGGGTCTTGCATACTTCTTCTCGGACAATGAGACTTATGCGCAGCGAGCACACTCATTGTCTGCTCAGTGGTTCACGGATGAGAGCACACACATGAATCCCAACCTGAACTTTGGCCAGTCCTGGCCCGGCGTAGAAAACGGAACCGTCTGGGGCATAATCGAAACAGTGTAAGATCAGAAAGATACCATTAAATTTTGTTTTCATGGCATATGACCCGGTATAGGAGAAGTTAGCCCCTTGCCAGGTGCCCTGCCGTACGGTCCTTCTCAACTCCCCACACGTAAATTAGAGTTTTCTACTGATAGTGCTTGGCTTGAAGTAATGCAAGAACATGTGATTTTGTTGTTATACCAGTCGTTGGCGATCGCCTACTTCTTTTCCGACAATGAGACATACGCCAGCAAGGCCCAGCAAATCTCCGACCAGTGGTTTCTCGATGCCGATACCAAGATGAATCCCAACTTGAATTTTGGGCAGGGCCACCCCGGGGGCGCCAGTGGTGCAATGGGCGGCATCATAGACACGACGTAAGATTTCATGGAAGTTGTTCTTTTGCGGCAACTGCTCGCTGCGGCAAAAATGCTCTAGGTTCTCTTGCCAAGACTACCATATTGCCAAGACCACCATATTGCCAAGACCACCATATTGACAAGACCACCATATTTGGAATGATAACATTTGAGAACTGTGTGTGTTGTTGGCAGGCCGATGCTTGACCCTTGTGTGCATGAACCCGTGCATTTGCCCATTGAACATAGACTTGGAGATATTCAGGGCCATTTCGCAAGCATCACGAAGGCAGCAAGGTGTAGCGTACGACTGAATTTCATGCAAGGGCCTGACATTTCCATGCGAGATAGGTTACCGGCATATGCATATATGATTCCCTTGGTGGATGAAGACTGTTGTCGTCTTGTGCATACTAATTGGGCTCTACTTCTTATTGTGTGCGACTGCAGACGTTGGGTCCACCTTGTTGATGCATTTCAGCTTCTGAAGATGTCAAAGAGTTTTGCGGAGCAGTTGGACCTGGAAACTTGGTTCGGGGGCTATAGTGCCTGGCTAACGGACAGCAAGCTTGGAATGGGAGAGTCACACGCGAAGAATAACCATGGCACATGGTAAGGCACGTCAAATGTCCTTTATCTACCCATTGTATGTGGAAGCCAGTGAAATACAAGCTGCAATTAACACCTGCAGATGCATACGTTTATGTAATCATGCATACACAGAAACACACACACACACACACACACACACACACACACACACACACACACACACATATCTACTTGTAATAGGTGTTTTTATACTAAGACCGTACAATACTCACTATTCATATTTCCCGCTCTTTCATCATAGTAATGAGAGCCGATCCAGTATAGAAGAGCGCATGCTTACTCACATCATAATACCTCGGTCGAAAGTCTAGTACCGTATTTTTCGGAGTATAGTGCGCACCTTTGTACAACGCGCACCCCCAATCTTCATTAAGGGCCTAAAATAGCACATCTAAAGTGCGCACTATACTCCGGAAAATACGGCACTGTATAATAGTGGATATACTAGTACCGTACTGGAAATATATGTTGCCGCGTAACGCGTAACGCAGGGGGGTGCGGCGTAACGCGCGACCAGGCTAGTGCGACAAATTTTCGTTGAGTTCGTAACGCGCGTCCGGCGGGGTGCGGCGATCTTTTCATTGCAGTTTGCACTGCAAAAAAAGGCTGAAAACTGTGAAAGCACGTGTACCGCGTGGTGAAAAGTAGTTTTTGGAGGAAGCGCTCTTCCCCTATGTCACTTTCCTTTTGATGATCTTTTTGTGAACAGATCACTCTGATAGTTAAAATATATAGTCTTCTATTGATATCGTTGTCGCCCTTTGCCGTCGGGTTTGTAACAGTTGGATAGCAACTGAATTTCTGTGCCTTCAATGTGGATGAAAAGAAAAAATGATGCGGCAAAAGCAAAAAAATGATGCGGCAATAGCAAAAATGTGATGCGGCAATAGCAAAAAAAGGACTGCGGCAATATAGAAACCTGTGTAACGGCTCCTGTGCGACTTTGCATGTAACGCCCTGCGTGCGGCAAACATGTGCCAATGTAACGCTTCATGGCCTCACTGCGGCAACATATATTGCCAGTACGGTAAATAGAATATGTTTTCAGTTTAACCAACAGCGAGCAGTGAGTACGATAGATGAAGCCAGTGCATAACTGGGCATTGCGTGTCTCTGATCAATAGCCGTGCATGTTATTTTTATTTTACTGCTTTTGAATGGTGCCGCATGATCAGGTACGATGCTCAGCTTCAGAACTATGCCCTCTACTCGAGAAAGCCCAGCGTAGCCAAGACCGTAGCACAAGCGGTGAGTTACATGCACTCAAGTTCATGTCGGTGGGTACATTGTATGTAGTGTTTCTCAGATCATGCATGATGCAACTGCTGCTGCGGACATTGAAATCAAGTGTCCAGGGGCGCTGGCCTGGTATTGTACTGTATTGTCTATTTATTTACGGATTCTCAAGAGGTAAATGGACACTTATCATGGGAGTCATGGGAGCCTTGTAGCTGTGAGTAGGTGCACAGCACACATTCGTATTATGACTCTGTTGCGTAGTGGACGCACTGCAGTTCATGTTTTCCAGTGTGCACATGAACTGCAGTGCGTGTACCCACTAGCGGTGCAGGCCTCGGTCATTCCACCGGATTTCAATGTCTACAACAGTACTTGATGCATGTGTACATTGTGCAGCGTGCCATGCATGATCGGTGTCTAGAGCCCGGAGGAATATTTTCAAGTGACAGGTACAGTCAACTTCGCTTATAACGACACTCGGCGGGGCATCAAAAAGGTGTCCTCATTCACGAAGTGTCGTTACACCCAAAGTCTCATTCAATGTATTACAGTGGGATGGGACTTTGCTCTGGGCATGGAAATTCTGTCGTTATTCGCGAATTGTCGTTATATCCGCAGTCGTTATTAGCGAAGTTGACTGTATCATTCCTCTGTGAGCAACCTGTCTTTACTGCAGGAAGTGTCATCGAGGCAAACCTCACTGTGGTGTGTATCTGATTTGATTCTGCAGGCGGCTGCAAAGCGAATCGACACACAGATACTACCCACAGGCCAGATGCCTCTTGTAAGTCAACCAAAGCAGCTGGCAATGTTTCCTGGCACGTGGCACTACAGTACTGCCAATCACCAAAGAACAGGGTGGTCAGCCTCCTAGCCGGGTGGTCAGCCTCCTAGCCGGGTGGTCAGCCTCCTAGCCGGGTGGTCAGCCTCCTAGCCGGGCGGTCAGCCTCCTAGCCGGGTGGTCAGCCTCCTAGCCGGGTGGTCAGCCTCCTAGCCGGGCGGTCAGCCTCCTAGCCGGGTGGTCAGCCTCCTAGCCGGGTGGTCAGCCTCCTAGCCGGGTGGTCAGCCTCCTAGCCGGGTGGTCAGCCTCCTAGCCGGGTGGTCAGCCTCCTAGCCGGGGGGCCTAGTCCTAGCCTAGACCGTTCCTATTTTCATGTATTACAGTCTATGCACAGTTGAGTCAGCGTGTATGCATTGGTATGCTGTGCTTGATGAAATTCTAGGCTGGCCGCTCTTCGGCGCTTCGTTCTTCGATACCCAAGAGTACAGTAGTACTGGTCGGGCAATTCTATAGAACGGAACTCAGCCAACCAACTGAGTGCCGTGTTATCACACTGACCCAATCAGTTGCGGGTGGAGTGCTTCGTTCCTAGATGTATTGTCAGCAGCCTTGCTTCATGGACCAATACATTAATTAGCACCTGGCGCCGAAGAACGACAAGGCTAGGAAAGTCACCAGAAGAGAAGAACGTGCCGGTCTGGTAACCCATAATACTTATTTAGAAAATTAGGAACAGCAGATACGTGTACAATAGCATGTTCTGTGTACCCGTACTGTGAGAATGCATGTGAACACATTATGGGGGCGTTCGAATTGTCACTTCTAAATTTTTTGGGGAGTTTCGTTTTCTGAAGAGGTGGCTTATTTGGCCTCTTCAGTAGTGATACTAGTTTGTACTTCTGTACGGCGGTGCACAGCAATGATGCTCGCTTGTGTTGCTTCTCTCTATGTAGGAGGAAGGCCGTACCAAGTCCTGGTCTTACACTGACTACAATCTGCAGGTTGGTGTTGCGATGGCATTTCTCCGGGCTATGTCGCGTGCCCTTCTACACATGCTCATATTCTTTTTCAATGCGAACACGCAAACACGCCGGTCGCTTCGCTGGAGGCTTCACTTAAAGTTCCTATTGTTTCTTGTCACTATCAGTACTTTCAAAGTATGTACAGTCAATATTACGTATGACGACACTCGGCGGGGCATCAGAAAAGTGTCCTTATTCGCGAAGTCTCGTTTTACCCGAAGTCTCATTCTATGTGTACAGGTAGGCGGGACTTTGCTCTGGGCATGGAAATTTTGTCGTTATTCGCGAATTGTCGTTATATCCGCAGTTGACTGTACTCTATTGGCAGGTACCGTAAATCGGGATGAGGCTTCCTTAAGGTTTATCTTTTCGGACCTAAAATAGTAACTGAGAGATTCCCCAAAGGCGGAAGGCTAAATCAGGAGGGTGTACGAGATCGTTGTTATTCCAAAAATTCCAAAACTGACCTGCCCCTATCGATGATCGCCAAGGCCGATGGCTCCAATGGAAATCCCCCTCACTGAATTTTGTAGAACAGTTCCAGAAGAGGCTATGTCTTTAGTCTCCATGGGAAATATTGAATTGTAGTCTGCCTGAGTTGCAATGGAGTAACCAGCAAACTTGTTATTACTGCAAAACTATAGATACATCTATGTATGCATTTTGCAATGACAAAGCCATGCATGGTGCTTAGCAAGACGTGTTTTTTTGCCTACCTGTGTGCCCCCAGGCCTTCTTCAACCTTGCCACCTCAGCCTTGCACTCCGACGTCAATCTGTTCACGTACGTTAGCAGTGATGGGCGCAGCATCCGCAAGGCTGTGGAGTACATCATCCCCTATATGTTAGGAGAGAAAACATGGCCATACAAGCAGATCGAGCCCTTCAAGTACTCCAGCTTATTCGAGGTAAGCATGTGTATAGTTGACTGTGTGTGTGTGTGTGTGTGTGTGTGTGTGTGTGTGTGTGTGTGTGTGTGTGTGTGTGTGTGTGTGTGTGTGTGTGTGTGTGTGTGTGTGTGTGGTGTGTGTGTGTGGTGTGTGTGTGGTGTGTGTGTGTGGTGTGTGTGTGGTGCGTGTGTGTGTGTGTGTGTCCGTGTGCATATCTTTGTGGGCATGTGCATTTGTCTCGTGTATCATGGAATGGTGCTGCTGAAGTCCAGTTCAGATCCCTGTGACTTTGATTTAGCAACCCACACCAGTGTCAAGTAATGCCATCACTGGGACAGTGGGTAGCTGCAGTTGGATCCCGGAATGGATGCCCTGCATCGACCCTTTTTCTGCGGCTTGTCCTAACTTTTCACTTCCTGTGGTGTGGTTAGTCCTAGCATTAGTGGGTCATTTCCAGAGGCTGGGAATTTCAGGGGTGCCAGTGGTTAGGCGACTGAATAGCCAGTCCAGTCATCTCAGTTTAGTAGTGGCGTTCTGCTCTGCGCTACGGGAACGTGACGTGAAGAATCCCGGGAGCACTCTTCACGTTCCCGTAACGTAAAGGAAATCTGTTCTGTTCTATGTTCGCGTAGAGAAATCGACAAGCAGTAGATTTACGAGACGTTCATTATTCAAGGAAAAGGAAAAGAGGCATGACCAGCTGCACGCATGCTCCAGATATCCCACTAGTGGACTAAGTAATATTTGTACTCTTGTAATGAATATGTAGTGACGTAGCATGGAATGTGTACTGGGAATTTCCCTTTCCAAATTTGGCAGATTTCTGCCGGCACTTCAAGGATATACACCAGATCTGTATGCATTTTGTTTGTGGCATGGGCCACAATGTAGAGAATCTGACCTACGCGTAGAAATCTGGACCCAAAAACACGCGACGCCGTAGACTGTAACCCAGGCACCTGCTCTCTACGTGGTTTCTCTACGATTCACGTATAGCAGAACCTCACTAATATCACACTAGCATAACTTGAAACTTTTGTTTATACTCGAAAAATGTATACTGGCTAAGCCTGCTGCAACTGATGAGGATTGTTGCTGTATGTTCGTCACCTTTTCCCCTCTTTTTGTCAGGTGTTTCGTCGCTCCGCCATTGCCTTCCAGAACTCGACATTTGAAAACATCATCGAGAAAGTCAGCAACGAAACACTGTCCAATAACGTCGTTAATCTTCTCTTTCCAAAGGCGGCTATACCTGGCTTTGATGCGATGAGCACACCAGTTGTTCTCCCAGGCCATGATGATGATCACTATCGCCATAGGAACACACAAAGAAGGGATGACTGGGTACCAGATGGCTACGCTAGACTGGAAAATGGGATGATCCTACCAACTGCTTTTCTCTACAAAACACCATATTAGATATTGACAATGGCCCAAAACATTTGATAATTCTAAAATTGATTACATTTTACTTTTGAAGTACACATGGTATTTACATGACTAGAAGTACTAGTACTACTAGCCTCAGTAGTAGTCAGGACTTGGTTCAGATGTTGAATGTACAGTCATGTACATGTACATGCATGTCCCTGACTGAAGTATGGATTCCACTGGCACTGGCACTGCTGATGGGGAAGAGTGTTTGCCTATCTGGAGTGGCTGTCATGGCATTTGATATCCATGGAAATACAGCATGATGAGGGTATGAGCTCCTCACTTTGTCAATGATGTCAATGATGAGGTACAAAACAACATGCAGGTGATGTATCTCAATAATGACGTAGCCAGTTTAGTGTATAATTTTTTTCTGCCAGTCACGTAAAGCAAATTGCACTGCCACGGTGCAGTCCGGGTACCAATTTTAGAAAAATGCGTTTCACACCTGTTGTTGGAGAAAAAGAAATCCGAACCCCCCCCCCCCACACACACACACCTTGCCATACGACTGTGGACACATGGACTTGGAAGCGTGCAAGTGGGTACACCTGCTGACACTGCACTGGGCCGGGGATGCAGTTCGGTATTCAGTATTCCCTCTGTTGCCTTCTCAAGAGCACTGGATCACGTACAGAGGCCAATCCAGCAATACGAAAGAACACAGACTCACACGCACGCATGCACACCACACACATACACACACTATCTTCAAGTCAAAAATCCAGGACTATTGATCTTCTTTGGACAATTCTAAACTCGGAGCGAATTCGCTTGACATAAATACCAGGATGGCACTATCATCATAAAGGAATGAACATCGTATAGAAAACGGGAAGAAGGGAATGGGGGGATAGACAGATAGATAGAGAGAAAAAGAATGAGAGAGAGAGAGGGGGGGGGGGAGGGAAGAGAGGCTGAAAGAAGCAGAAAAGTGAAAAGGTAAAGGCCATCGTGACAATGGCAATTGAACATTTCATGTAAGAATACACTAGCCAGGACTGCACTATAGACCTTGACCGTTTACTCAGTGAAACACATGCTGAAGAGGGCATTATAGAATAGGTCGGAATAGTAGCTCTCAAGTCGGATGCACAGCGGAACGCACGGCTAAGCAGGCACACACGATTCATGTCAATGGTCGAAGCCCTAAGGTCGGTTTGCGCAAATACACGGGTAGGAACTCTGCATTAGTCATGAGGGGAGAATTTACAGATGGACACAGATGGCAGGGTGGGGTGAGCAATCATGAATGGTCTAAAAATATGGCATGCAGCAGGTACTAGCTGTTAGGCAACAGATGGTTCGGTTTGTACTGCACACTAGTAGCATGGACACAAAGCCACCTGGCGGAGTTGTGGCACGAATACACAATGGGGAACATATACACACAAATCAAGTCAAGGTGAATGAAAATCACTTCAATAAGCTCCTAGATAGCTCCACTTGCACAGTTTGGATGGAGGTAGGCATGCAATGGTACCAACATTGCAAAACAATGCTCCAGCCGATCTTTTGCGCTAGAACAGAAGAGAAGACAATCGCTCCAACTAACAGTGTTCAACATCCTCTCCAAAATCATAGCCAGCATCATTTGAGCTTTCCCCAAGCTGAGCTGTCTCAGCTGCGGCATCCGCATGGTCATTGACATCTTCAATGGTTTGGGTGGGCTGTTTGTCCTTGCCTTCAGTCGTGGGAGTCTTTTCGGGCTCGAAATCCACGCTTGCAGAGGCATGAGAGTCAGAATCATCATCGCTATCCTCTTCCTCATCGTCCTCCTCATCCTCCATTAGAAAGTTACCGTCCGTCTCCTCGCTTTCGTCCACCGATGGTCCCAGCGCCTTGCTCTTCTCGCGCAAGTAGTCCAGTTCCTTCTGGACTTCGTTAATGGCACGTTCCCGTTTCAAGACCAGGGACTGCATTGATGCTAACTGCAAGCTAAGCTGTTGACTAGCCTCCACCAGCTGATAGTTGGCAGGTTGCAGAGGACCAACGACCGGCATCGGGTCACTGGCGTTTGCCGACATGGCAGCGCTCTGCGGCTGCATCAGCTCGCGGGCAAGGCTGGACACTAGCCTAGCTTGCTGTACACACGAGTCCAGGACGGGCTCAATGGACGCCGTACCACGGCGACTGTCCGAGACGCGACGCGCTGGCGCCCGGTCACCAACCTGGAGAGATTTCAATCTGTCGACCACCATTTCGTCTGTTTCCAGTAGCGTTTTGGCAAATTCTACACAAACAGCAGAACACAAGACAAAAATGAACTCGGAAGGAGAGCCAAGGATTATTTATAAAAAGTAAAAAGGACCAAGGAACTACAAGTTCCACTATAATGTCCACTAACACCACCAGTTACTAAACAATCAGCTCATGCGATAACGTTGCACGGCACTGACCGACAATGTTATCGAATGAGCTGATTGTTTAGTAGCTGGTGGTGTTGGTGGACATTATAGTGGAACTTGTAGTTCCTTGGTCCTTTTTACTTTTCACAAGACAAAAAGTAGCATTTAGCATCAGAATTGAGTGCAAGGCATGAAGATAATTTTTCTCGTTGCATACAAATTATGACGGATGCATTATGCCACCATAATTGAGCAAACACACTCCACTTTACTCTTAGTTTCAAGCTTCGATGCTGCAATGACTCCTTGATTCTAGAAGCCATAGTCTTACAATCGTATTTACAATCTCCTTGCCTGCTGGACCTGCTGGAGTTGTTCGTCACTAATAAGTACATGTTAGCAAGCTCATTATAGCGACACCTCACATCAGAAGCGCACAAGCATCATGCCACATTATCCTTATGCACTACGGTAACAGGACTGTCACCGTAGAGGTACTCTGTACATGGATGCGGCTGGCTAATGCTGCTTTTCCGCACATGTTCCAGTAGTTTTGAGATCTAGTGAGACTCTCCCACTAGCTCCACAATTGGACGCTGCATTTGCCGCTGGAATACTCCGGGTGTCAGCAGGCGTCGTGACATTCCTCCAAAAGGGAGACGAAAAGTGACTTTTTTTACTGTATTCTCCTCCAAAAGGGAGACGAAAAGTGACTTTTTTACTGTATTCTCCTCCAAAAGGGAGACGAAAAGTGACTTTTTTACTGTATTCTCCTCCCAAAGGGAGACGAAAAGTGACTTTTTTACTGTGTTCTCCGGAGTATAAGTCGAACTTCAAACACAAGTAATTCACCCCAAACAGTTGGGACGGCATATCAGTACTACGATGGTCAAATTAACGGGGATAAACAGGGTAGGCGTCTGCATTTCGTTACAAAAATCTGGGTGCAGCTTATACTCCGGAAAATACAGTACTTGACAGTCACGATAATGCTGTTGTTTCCTACACCGCCACTGACCCATACTTCCTACAATGGCTACATTGCTACACCACAAATGCTGATTGTTGTGAAAGCAGCCGACTAAAATCCAATGCTCCACGCAGTAAAATACCCCATTCAAAAAAGGGGAATTCTGAGAGAGAAACGGGACAAAAAAAGCACCAGAAATGCTACACTGGCTTACCATCTTCTTGCTTCTCAATTCGCGTTTCGTCATCATCAGACGATGCCATATCAGCAGGCACTTCGGATGTGCGCCGGCCGCGCTGCATCGCGTACGGTGGGTTGGCAGGGAGTGGACGATCTTTTAGCATGGTGGACGCCACCTGGCTAGATCGGCTGCGAGTGGACATGTTGGGCGAGAATCCTCCAGGGACGGCGGCTGCAGGCTGCAGCGACTTGATCTCTTTAGTGACTTTGGTCGTGCAGTCAATCCACCGTCGGCAGTCGGTTGCATTCAGTGCTTGCAGCGAGTACATCTTAGGAGGCTCGCCCTTCAGGTCCACCAGGTACAGTGACTTCTTGTCATTCGCCACCTCGCGCACGTGCAGGTCGTTCACTCGCACCACGGAGCCAAAGTCCTCGTGCACGCGCAAGTAGTACTGTGATCGGTTACTATTGTACTCGAGTAGGACTATGAGATCGGTGAGCAAGAGCGCATGGACGGGCACAACGGCGTTCTTGACACGCCACTGCAGATCACTACGATGCACGACCTTCTTCAGCGACAGGTCAATGGTGGCGTACGATGAGATGTGGAAGTCGCTGGACTTGTCAAGATCCTTCGTGTCCAGTTTGTTCTGCACATCCTGCAAGAACTTGGAGTTCTCGTACTGCTGAATAGCACCGTTGACCAGTGACAGGGCATTCTTGCAGATAGTGAGGGCGGCTTCCAGATTGGCATACTCCGCCGGGTCAGCCTCCCTCAGTGTATGCTTCTTTATCCCCTCGAGGAGCAACGGATATTTTGTCAGACGCTGCATTACACTTGGTGTCAGGGCCCCGAGTGGAAGGCGGTTCAGTACTTCCTTGGTCTCACACACCTGAAGTCACAGTAAGAGAATGGGACATGCAAGCACACACAGAGGATAGATGCTGGTTCTGAAGTACCCGTGCATGCTGGACTCTATGTGTGTGTGTGCGTGTGTGTGTGTGTGTGTGTGTTAACCATGGACTGCTTCTGGCTAGATTAACTCTTGTGTAATCGACGGTGCTAGTGAAGCTTATATCAGATCCACTCTGATTTAGCCACTCACACTAGTACCAAGTATTACCTTCACTGGGGGCAGGGGTACCTGCAGTTGGATCCCGGGACGGATACCCTGATACCGTCAATCCTTTTTCTGCACCTTGTACTCACCCACTTACTGAGGTGTGGTGAGCCCATAAGTGGGATCATTTCAAGTCCACCCGAGTTTGGGGATTTCAGGGGGTGTTGGCCGCTGGGTGGTTCAATGGTCAATTGAGTCATCTTTCCAAGATTCCTTTTGAGTCTCTGTCCCCTCTCCCGGGGAGACCCAAGTGACCAGTTTCGGCAGTGAGTAAGTACAAGTACAAGTGTGTGTGTGTGTGTGCGTTTTTGTGTGTGAGTGCACATACGTGTGATGTGTGCATATCTACAGCCTTGCAATCTGTTGAGTGGTGCTATGGCTTCTACAGTGACATCGCCATCATATCCGCCCCCCCCCACTTCCATGGTTCTGTGGTATCCAGTAAAAGAAATCACCTTTGGCGATGGTCGTCAAATGTCAAAGATGTATGTGTGTGTATGGGTGGGTGGTGCTGGATCCCGGATACCAGGACAAAAACTTTGATGCTGTCAATCCTTTTTCTAAACCGTGTCAGTATTGTGCTGTGTGGTGAGCCCATACATCCACCCAGACTGGTCTAGGGATTCATTGGGCGTAGGCCGTTGGGTGGTTAGCCCATTGAGTCATCTTTCTAAAATTCCTTTTTGATTATCGGTTCCCTATCCCTGGGAGACCAATATGATCAGTTTCTGGCAATGTGTAAGTACATTACATGTTACTACAGTTCTGGCAACTGAAATCCGACCCCCTGAGCGGTGGGTTCAGATTCTTTGCGATGTGAGCCCACCGCTCAGGGGGTCGGATTTCAGTTGCCAGAACTGTAGTACAGCGCTGCTCAATAGAATCCAAGTCAATGCCAGGCCTGGTACTGTGCAGTCCTAGACCTGCCAACACTGGGATGTTCACTGGTGCACGGCGTAAAGTTAACCCACTTGATCGAATTTCATCGAGTAGCACTGTATGCTGAGTTAGGAGTGTGTGTGTGGGAGAGGAGAGGGGGGTGGGGTGGAGGAGGGGTGAGAGTTCGTGCTCCGGGACGACAGTATTTACAGCTATGAAGCAGCTAAAGCTGTACACCCCCCCCCCCCCCCCCATCTTTTCTGTCAGAGCAGGGCTCCATATACTGCAACAGTATGGACTGTGAGCTACAATGGGCGGCTGCGAGGCATTCTCCAGTGATTTTGTTTGCTCCCTAAGTGGCGTATATGCAGTCATTGAAATTCTTCAACAGACAGTTCATAGCAATATATAAGTGAGGGTCACATCGCAAACGTACCTTCATGAAGCTGCCGAACCTCGGCAAGTTGGACTGCATACGCCTGATGTAGTCGAGATTCTCCTGATTGCGACAAACCCACTGGCTGGCAGCGCTCAAGAACTCATCGCCCACACCAAGGTCCATGCTCTGCAGGAAGACGTCAGAAATGGCCGTGACGTAGCCATGACGATTTGGATCCATCTTGGCGCGCATCAGCTGTAAGAGATGCCGATGATGCTCGATCAGCGCGTCTATCTCAGGGAACAACCGTTGCTCTTGATCTCTGGGAAGCAGCTCCGCATTCTTTATCGGCAGGTAGAAGCAGTTGAGGATGAGCTTCAGCTTCTTCAGGTGTGTTGCCTCGGTGTGAATGAGCTCGTGTATAAGTCCCTGCCGGTTCTTGTCGGTCTTGCTTAGAGACTTCAGGAAGCCGGGGTCTTTACTGGTTACGGTCTCAAGCCATGGCGGAACATCTTCATCATATTCCATTTCCGGATCGGGGGCGTGCTGGGCGAATGGCACCTTTCCATGCTCAGGTGACATGCTTCCTGGACTTCCATCGGTGTCGGCGCTGATATCATTGAGGGACGGAGATCGCATCGGTGGTACATCGGCAGCAAGAGACTCGGTGGTCTTGTGCCGCCGGTCGCTACGATCGTACGCGGCAGGTCGCTTCGGGTAGTTCAGACTCTGTGCTCGGTTTACATTGGTTGAGGATGGCCGACGATTGCCGAGCTCGCCAGCACTGCTTGCTGCGGTGATGGCCGTCCCAGAAGTCGCTGCGTCTGCTGCGCCCGTGGACTGAGACAGGGGAAAGTTACGCGGTCGGTCACGCAGGCTGCCTCTACGCTCTTGATACGTATCATCACGAGCAACATCAGCACCAGTAGCAGCAGCTGATGCCAAATTCGAGTCACCTGCGTGACGGAAGGAAGCACTGGACTTCGCAATCAATGGCGAGGCTTCCCTTGCAGAACTAACAGTTGACAGCTGACAGTCGCTTGGTGATACCGTATCAGTATCAGTGAGTGCTGGCATTGAGGAGACGGTAGACGAAGCAGAGACGGCTGCTGTTGTTGCCGATGTGGATGCAGTCTTTGACGGTGTGGACGTGAGCGTGCTGGTGCTTGTCGACGGCTTCATGGAGTGCTTCTTCCACACTATTGCCATTGCCGAGCTGCGCTCCCGATAGCTCTCGCCTTGGCAAGGGTCCTTGAGCAATTGATTGCAGGAGCGCTGGTGGACGTTGAATCCACACAGCTGGCACGTGAAGCCCTGGTAGCCGAGGCCCCAGAGCAGACCGCTGCAGTGGTCGCAATACACCGGCGAGTTGTAGTGCGTCGGTAAGAAATGATGACCTTGGATGATCTTGATTTGATTTGTCTTGTTGCGGTTGAAGATGCCAAGTGGCTTCTTCTTACGATTGGTCGACTGCCTGCTAGCCACTTTTATGCTGGACTCCACCAGGACACCAGAGTCCTCCAGGAACGTCAGCAACGCCATGGACAGTGCAGCATTGCGCGTCGACACATTCTGGTCAAGGGTGGAGAACGTGGGATCCATGCCAGCCAGCTGGTTGAGCACAGGACAGAGTAGTTTGCGAATAGCCTCGGTCTTCTCTTCCTTAGTGCTGATCTTGGCTAGCAGATCGTCTTCACCGAATAGGGAGCCGAACCCCAGCATTCGCTTCTCACGGTAGCTCTCCAACTGAGCTGAAATGACGCCATTGGCGAGTACATATCTGGCATCGTTGAACACGAGCGACAGGCCCTCATCAGTTCCTTTCTGCATGACCTTGGCCTTGATGGCCTCCAGCAGTGGCGGGTCAATGTCGACGTGCAGCGGGGCACTTTCGGCGAAGAACAGTCCCAGTATGGCCTGCGCAAAGCGGCGAGTCTCCTTGGCAGAGCTGCTGCGCTGTCGGCGGTAGATACCGGTCAGCAGATAGAAGAACAGTGCATCGGGATAGTTGTCCTGGCCGGTGTCGTCAAGGAGATAGCGAATGAACACTGCCATCCTCGCCGGCTCAACAACGAGATTATCCAGCGATGAGAAGGCTCCCGTGATGTTGTCTGTGGCCACCTCCTCGTCGAAATCTTCGTCGTCAATGATTATCGTTGCTGCTGAGATTGGCGCAGGTTTGGAAGCGTGCTTGTTTTGCCGGGTATTGTTGAAGGAGGACGTTGTGTGCAAGGATGTTGATATTGATTTGGATCTGACCGGCGTTGCAGAAGACAATGGAGGCTTGATGATAGATGGGGAACTGGCGCGCGGTTGAAAGGTCTCTCTGGATGGCTGCAAGCTTCTTGTGTCCGTACCGCTCGGGCTAGTGGCAGTTGTTGTGTTTGTTATTGATGACGGTGATGTCGCTGGCTTACTCATATTGTTACTCGCTGGCAGGCTACTAGTGAAGACGGTAGTTGTAGGCGACAATTCGACGGAAACACTCTGCGAGCTCCGAGATAATGGCGAGGGTGAGTTCAACGCAGAGGCTTGAAGTCGTTTGGTGCAATCAGAGAGCTGCTGCTCCAGTTTAGCAATACGCTGCTCGGATTCCGTCAGTGAATCTTTAACTCGTACACTGGGATTCTGTACATACTCTTTGCACTTGCGCTCATAAAAGATGCGTTCCTGTCGGAGCATTGCCTGCAGTGTGACCATCACCTTTTCAGCGCGTTCGTGCTCGTCGCTGCCACCGATGCCGTCTACGCTGCCGCCACTGGTTGGTGGAGTGCTGCTGCTACTTCTTGCGCTGGCCACGCTGCTGCCTGGCGAGCGAGGAGGGGGATGATCGGCAGCATTGGACGACTTTGTCCGGTGAACTGCTCTCTCCAACGGCTGTTCGCGACTCACAAAATCGTTCGTTGCCACGCCGCCGCTGCTTGTGGACATTGTGACCGGGCTGTTGCGACAACTCGACGCTATGGCACTTCGATGTCTTACATCGAGGGACGGATACTGGCAAGGTGTGTCTTACTTACAATGCGAGATCAAAATGATTGATGAATTTCGTTCGATCGCAAATGCCCCGATGCATCGATGACCAGAAGAGCCACGGATCACGCGTGTCTCATTAGCTAAAACCACGGACAAGCACACCGCACTCACGAATCACAGTTTGCCACCGCTCCAGGAGACCCCTTCGCACACACTGACTCCCGTTCTGCTGCACAGGCAAGATGTTGTGCCCACACAAATCTTCCCGTGCAAAACCTTCGACCGGTGCGCCGCAAGAAGGAAGCACAAAAATTTACTAACAGTAACCCAAACCGAGACTGAAGCTATCTCTCTGCTACACGACACACAGTACCTCAACTTCTATTGCCGTATTGGTCTCGATTAAAGATTCGTGATACGTCCGAGGAAAGTAAGTGAATGATCTAGGAGCCTACATGCCCCTTCCAGCCCGTGCAATGGCGAGCGTTGCTTTTCTTGTCACAAACAGCACCAAGAGAACGGTTTGAGATCCTATCACGGTAGCTAAGAATAGTTCGGCGAGTGACCAGCGCCTTTCTGCCATGCAGACTGTACTCAGCAGTACATCTGCATGATGTGGCTCGCGATGTACAAGTACTTGGCTGACACTTCACACTCGGATCACAGACTTATGTCAGTTATGAAAACTGTTGCGCACAGCCTCACACTGTTACAGGACCGCGGTCACGCGCGCCCAGCAGTAGGGCGGCGTGCGACCGCGGCGTGCAGCCAGAAACATGACTGTACTCACTGAAGTGTAACCATGGCAACACAGCGCCTGCACTAGCTGCAGGCCTGGCGCATGGCCTCGACTCGAGGCCTCGCACCGGCACCCTTCACCGAAGGCGAGCTATAAGAAAGACAACTGGAGTGGAGACGTGAAGCTTTGCCTTTGCCGCTTTGGTCTTCTTGTGTGGTGAGGGTGAAGAATAGAAATCTGGACTCCTGGTATATTTCCATAAGGCCAAAACAAATAATGACCTTGTTTCCGGTCGCCCGACCGGGCCACTTTTTCCCAAATTCTAAAACTTTTTTTCGGTCCCAAATGTATACAAACGGTGGCAATGCCATGTGTGCAAGTGCACTCAACGAGTCATAACTCAGTCAAATCTCAACCGAATTCCACAATCGAAACACCTACAAGGTAGCAGAGATTCTCAGCTGTCGGCTCGAAAACCTCCGGGGTCGATACGAGCTAGAATAACGGAGCTGGAAGGACTCTAACTGTTTGCTTGATTTCTCAGGATGTACGAAAACAGGAATACACCACGTGCTGTACAAGAACAGTGAGTCAGTCAACTTTGACATTGATCCTTGCCATGATATACATGTATGTACAATGTACATGTGTAGGTGCCCTTGTCCATCAATAACACAACGATTGAGCAACCAAAAAAAAGTATCCAAAAAAAGTTTCATTCCGGCCGATCGAGTCTCCTTTTTGAGGGGTTGCCGACCGGAAACAAGCCTATGTTTTGTTTTGGCCTAACCTGGAATCGTAGAGTCCTGATAGTACATGTATGTCTGGCCCACTCCCCGGTCATGACCCGGTCATGACCCGCCCACTCCCCGGTCATGACTCATGACACATGTATACAATGACGTGTACATCTTTACCAGCAACAGTTACCTCTTCGACTTGACCGGCCTGCACCTCTTGAGCCTACTAATAGTACTAAGTAAAAGCATGACCTTCGCATGTCCCACACATTGCATGCACATCATTCCTGACACAGCTCACAGTACTCGCCTCACCCACCCATTCGCTTTTGCACATCATGCATTCCGGGAGTGCGCTTTCTACGTTTGGAATACAGTCCTCCGCATAGCTGCTACCGCCGGACCTTGTTCTTCACCGCTTCACGCATAACAACAGTAACGTGAACTATTGCTTCCCGCTGCTCTAGGGAAGTGTAGCCACTAGCCACCCATGACTCTATCCGCATGCCTACTATTCTACTAACCTCTACATTCTCTATTGGCAGTATTGCACTACTTCTAGAACATTGTTTTATTTTTATGAAAGTGCACATGCCTAAAATAGAATGGAAGGCAACAGCAACAACAGCAAGAGAACTTAGGGACTACAGAGGGCGTGTAGGTGCTATAAAGCTGTGCCGGTGAGGTGAAGTGCGCTCACCCGACCATTGGCCTCGGGATCAAGGCGCACATCATGCACCATGGGGGAGAGGGAGAGAAGAAAGACTGTGTGTGAAAGAGTGAGAGCCTGAGAGGCAGAGAATGATGGAAGGAGAGCAAGAGAGTTGGGAGGGGGGGGGGGGAGAGCGAGTGAGTGAATGAGTACCAAACATACATAAGCATGCCTGCCTTCAACCTACATCTACAAACGCCTCCGTCTCTTCCTTCTTCATCATCTCACAACCTAGTCGCAACTTCCTGTAGTCTGACTTTACTTAGCAATCCTCCATACCCGTTGTACTTGTTGTCGTGTGCGCCTACACTTCAGTACCATGCTGTAGTCGTCATCTCAGTGGCAGTGGCAGTGGCACACGTTCAACATCCTCTTCAAACTTCGAAACTCACGAGACCTCCTCAGACCTGTGCCACTAAACAGGCCGGTGGGACGTTGCCCTCACCGTGGCCCCAGGCCCACTTTCCGTACTCTGAACTACACCAGAATACGATACAGCAAGGTACTGACATCAGTCCATGCACATGTACATGTATGCCATGATACCAGGAGCAATACCTCTCATTCACTGGCACATTTGAGAACAACAGTAGCATTCCAGGAGGTTGGTACTTTCTAGACATGCATCACCGAAAGCACCAGACAATGAACACAAACCGTAGTAAAGGTCACAGCATGCTCAACTGAAGGCTGCATGCGCAACAGCAGGTTGGTGTCGTGCCTTTTGTGTGTAATAGGGCTTGAAAGTGATGACGTCAAAACGGCCAGGGAGTAGTAAGTTGACATCAGATTTCTATTTTTGGATCCACTAAGGTGTGACTTTGCTATTGCCTAAGTATGTGGGTGCATAGCAACCCACTCATGTCGCATGCAGGTGTGACTTTTATTTCGCCACCAGTTGTAACCCCACCCCCAGTAGCCAAATCGGTCAGTTTCACTGGCTACATCACCATGCTGTGGCCCAGTGTGGGTAAGACCGCTTGAAATGTGCTTGGATCCATACAAAAACTGGATCCAAGTGGATCCAGTTTTTGAATTTTTGAAATTGTTGCTATGCTGTGACGTAGCACTTTCAAGCCCTATAGTGCTCCACATTATTGTGTTGAGCCCTCTCCGCTGGCAGAAGGAAGTTTTCCTCCTGACATCATACATCTGTTTCCGCCTCCCAACCCCTACAGCCATAAAAATACAGTCATGTGCACGACTGTACAATATGTACACGTGTTGTTGGTTTGACAGCATGAAACAAGGTGGAGGACACTGTGTTCGGAAACAGTGACCTTACTACAACCATCCACGGTTGGTAGAGCCCCGGTCCGTTGGGACCATCTGAACCATATGGGCGTTGAACCCAGTTCTGACCCTCATTATGCTTGGGGAGTTTTTAGACTTCTCCTAACGTCAGTCGTGTATTCCTTGATCGCTCTAGATGTCGTCCTGATAGTCATAAAATTAAAGTAGCTATTCTAATCTCGGGAAGAGTGTGTTGCTCCCTACATGGAAGCTCGCGGTTTTCCTGCCCACTTGAATTCTCACTTGACTGACTCACGACTGCCATCCAGAGCACACGAGAAGTCCATCGAACCGTCCACTCGGCAAACCTGCAAGAAAGCACCACTCCCTGCTCAATACACAGTGTTTCGGGGAATTCACCCCTCATCAGTTAAGTTTGAGTAGGCTGAGGAAGATTGTGCCTGAAGAGCACCACTTATATAGTGCTCTCCAGGCACAAACCGATGATCACCAGGGATACAAACTTACAGAGACGCTCCGTTTCCAGCGCGACAAACACCTCGTGAACACCAGATAGCAGCATGAGTCGGTGTCGAATCTGAATTGTTTTAACTCCTTTTTCCGCGTCGGGACATCACCAACCTCGTCTACACAGAGCACCTTCTCACGACAGTGTCATAGTGGTGACAGTAACCGTTGTCTGACTATCAGCACGACATCCAGGAGCGATCAAGGAATACACGACTGACGTTAGGAGGAGTCTAAAAATTCCCCTAGCATAATGAGGGTCAGAACCGGGTTCAACACCCATATGGTTCAGATGGTCCCAACGGACCGGGCCTCTACCAACCTTGGATGGCAACAGTAAGGTCACTGTTTCCGAACACGGTGTCCTCCACCTTGTTTCATGCTGTCAAACCAACAATATGTGTGAACTATAACAAGGTTTATCAAGTACTGATACTGTGCTAGTATTGGATTATCTAATATATCTGGTGCTAGTACTGATACTAGGGTTGGATTAGATAATATATATGGTGCTAACGTTAGTACTGTACTAGGGTTGGATTATCTAATACCAATATGCACATTGTACACACATGACAGACTGATGTGTACGTGTACAGGATGTCAACTGTCAAGACTCGATGGACCACTTAACGGTGGAGAAAAACAAAAATGAAGTACCTTCCATTTCTTCCATAAAACGGAGGAGGCAGATGGACTGTTGTTTCCAACCCCTACCCCCTGCCCAGTTGGTGGCTTTCTGTCATCGACGTCTCTGAGTAACGTTATGTGTACACTCGTTCTACCCTTCTGCTATAAAACATGCAATGATGCAATGAACCAAAGAACTCAGTTCAAAAGGAGCAGATCAAGGCATTCCCAGGAATCTCAGCCCAATCACTCCCTTGTCAGTGTTTGCCTGCCACTTCATTCCTCACTGCACTCGCTCCCTTTCACCTGTTAGATAGATACTCAAGCCTCTTTGTGAGTCACTTACCGTAGCAGTCAGTTACATGTATATTAGCCTGGTGCTGAAGAACACCATACTTCAGTTTCATGTGCTCTATCAATGAGTGCAGTATGGACTCGGATGGTGAGCCAAGAATAAATTTATAGAAAAGAAAAAGGACCAAGGAACTACACTAGAACGTCAGTACCGTCCGTCAGTGTCGTGCATTGTTATCACATGAGCTGATTGTGATTGTTTAGTAACTGGTGGTGTTAGTGGACATTACAGCTTAACTTGTAGTTCCCTTGTTCTTTATCTTTTCTATAAACCATTATCAACAGGAAACCTGCATGAAGATAATGGTGACAAGCTGGCAGCTCCATAGAGTCACGCGGATAGGGCTTTCGATGCATTTCTCAAATATTTTTGATATTCAACTGATATGGTCCTGTGATTATGGAATGGCTATCAACAGTCAAACGTTGAGTGACACCACACTGATTCATAAACCAACCCCAGGGTATCGATGAAGCGGGCATAGTCCGAATTCGAAGAAAACCCGCAACTCAGTTACTGAGATCCCCGTTTTGACTTCTGTCGGAGCAGGTGATGCAGCCAACGAGGCACTTTTGACTTGGGTTTTCTAGAGCCTTTGGCCTTGTCAACAG